GACAAATTTCATTTAAAATCAAAATCATGTTAACTGAACAGTCCAAATAAAGTAAAGCCCACTCTGATATTTTTTTATTTTCTGCAGGGGATGTAAAGACTATTCAAACTAAAGCTCAGGTGAATCAAGCGTCCAAAAAGCTTGAGTTTCAGGTTAAAGAGCAGGTCCAGATCAACACAAAGGGATGTGTCTTAGTAAAGAAGGAAGCAGCCGCAGCACAAACGGACAATCAGAAGAGTATGCAAATTAAAAACTACACTCATCAAGTGGCATCAGTACACAATGTTCCTGACAAGAGATCAGACACCAAGCAAACCAGTGAAGAGCATGGCAAGCAACTTAACAAAGAAGCCAAAGCCTGTGTTCTTAAACAACAGGGAAGAGAGGGGGAGGTGAATGTAAACAAGCAGCACAAAGCAACTGTTAGAGCCACAGACCAAATAAATAAAGAGCCAACAAAATCTACAGCAGATGCCAAAGTCAACCAAAGGGAGGGTGGTTTGATGAATGGAGCAGCGAAGGCTGACAGAAGTGCCTTGAGAAGTAGCCGTCTAACTGCTGAGGTAAGCAAACAGCAAAGCCTGCATATGTCACCAGCTGAGGGACAGGCTAAAGGTGGGTCTCAGGTGGAGGTCATTCAGCCCTCAGTGACACCCCTGTCGGTGGGATGCCTGTCACTCCCAGTCATCAAACTGGAGCCACTAGATGTGAAGGGAACTTGTGATGAGGTGCAGTCCATGGAGGTCAGGTGAGTCTTCAAGTAGCCCTATGTTATTAGATTGGGGGAAAGTTGCAACTCTAAGTAATTGATTATTATCATTATTACACGTTTTCAGCCCAGCTTCAAAGGAGGATCTAATTTCAATCCCAGAGTTCTCACCAGTCAACGAAATCCAGCACAGCGGCACGAGTAACACCCATGCTCTTGAAGACCTGATGGATCTGACAGGCAGCGCCACCTGCCTCAAACTGTCCTCTGAGAGCAACATAGGTGACTGCAACAAAAATCTCATTGAGGGTATTGTTAGTCCCATGTCAGACTCAAAGCTCACTGGGCTGTCGCCTCTGTCCTCAAATAAACTTAGCTTCTAGTAATCTACTAAACTGTCTCTCTCTCGCCCCCTCTCGCTTGCCTACTTACAAACGTCAACTCACAGGATGTCACAGTTTGAATGTGTGTCCCTGTGTCTATTTACGGGAATAGAGCCATAGAGACTGATTTGAAAAGAACAATGTAAACTGTGACTTTCAATATAAGCATCATGTTCATATGGTCTAATCACAAAGATTTTGTTTAATCTATAGTTCTAGTGTGTGTGCAAGATGAGCACGTGTGAAGGAGAGTCAGGTGTCAGACATGTGAAATGATAACAAAAAAGGCAAACATCAGGGGTTTGAATATTATAAACCTTTAGAAAACACACTATTGCTGATGTACAGTAGCTTGGTAGGAATCTGTCACTTTCCCTGCACAGATTCCTCACTGAGTCCCAGTTCAGTCCCATTATTGGACCGTTGATGACTGTGTTTGTACTTCTACCTTTCCACATGTTCTATTCAGCCTTTAAATCAAATTCAGTGTTTTGCTGGGAAAGGCAAGATCATTTCATTTTCATGACAGCCTAATTTTTAATACTTCCACACTGTTCTTTCTAGGTTATATATTTCTTGCATGTACTGATAATTGATTTAGGTGGAATTTAATAGATTGATCTGGGAAACTAAAGTCCAGCAGGAGTCTCACTGCACTCCTTCACTATTCCTTACCCACTGAGATCTGAACATAGGATTGTTAATTAACATTGTCTTCTCTTCTCAGTGAGATGGCTGTTCTTTTTTTTTTATCTTTAACTGGGACTTTCTAACTGCATGTGTGTGAGAACGATAAGCCCAAAGCTTGAATATTACTACACATAAAAATAAAAGAAATCATGGCATTAACTCAAACAATGATATATTTTCACATATTTGTGGGAAACTAGAGGAAGTTGAAATGATGCTGCTTGCTGTTAAACCTTTTCTCTTTCCACCATGTTGTACTCTACGGTCCTGTCTAGTGGACTCCTTTATTCATTTCTTGAGATATTCATAGTCACTAACAATTGCATTTATTTCAATTTCAGTAGAGATGCCTTATGAGGGTCTGATGTGTTATGTTATTCAGGCTGTGTATGCTTATCCTTTTTGTTTGGCCACTAGGATTGGTGTGTGTGACCTGTAATACTTGAGCCTCAGTTTGAAATATAATCTCTGCCATGTTGCAAACAGTTATGTCAACACCTCCTACACATCGGCATGTTACTTATAAAGTGACATTTAGATTTGTGTTCCTGAGATAATGCATAGCCTAGTAAGCTTTTTTGAACTGCTATAAGTGAAGTAATCATTTAGTAACATACAGTATTTGAAAGTTAGGATTTGCTGGCTAGGCTAGAATTCACTAAAAGTACTTTTTATTCAAAGATGATTAATTTTAAGGAAAAGGAAATGTGTGTAAGGAAATTATATAAACAAAAAGTATTCAGATCTGCATATACTCATATTTCACTCTATCACAGTCAGCTTACTGTAACTCTTTAGGTTATGTAATTCTGTAGCCATTGTACATGGAATCAGAAACAATAAAATGTGAAACAAGAATTTTGCATTTGTTTGTGTAATGTATTTGTTTTATTAAGCAGATAACCTGGGTAAAGGTTTATCACATTTGTATTAGAAACATGAAGAAAGAACTTCAGAAATAGGCAGAGTACAGAGCATATTAAGTAACATGAAGTAACTCAGCACTTACAACTATTCAGCTAGACTCCAGCAAAAACCACCAACCACCAGTATGTGTAAGGAAGAGTGGCAACAGGAAAAACTAGACTAAAGGAATGCACTTGCATTAACTGCAGCAATAAGCAGAGGTACAAAGAGGAAAGAACAAATATTAGCAGAATAAGGATTGGTCATAGTAACCAATCCTTACCCTAACGGAAAGAAAATATATTTCCAAATATATTATGTGTGAATATATGTTGGGTTATTTTGTGTGTCTAAAATATATATAGCAAAATATATTGCATTAATCTATTACAATATATTGAATAATACTGTTATTTTGTATGTCTAAAATATATATTGGAAAATATGCTGCATTAATATATGACAATATATTGAATAATACAATAAGGAATTGTGGCTTTTCATATATTGAAAAATATATTTATATATCGTGATATATGTTATTATGTATTCCATAATACACTTCATAATATATGGAGATATATATATATATATTGCATGTGTGGTGTGTGTGTTTGCATGTATACACATATTGTGTGCAAAAATATACTATAATATGTAACAAAAGTACACACTCATGTGTAAGCAATCAAGAATGGTGTATTGATATAAACCTATTTTCCATCCAAGTAACTAAAATACAGCACTTCAAAGCCACCATGTCAAACTAAAAATGTATTTGCCCTTCAGCCACTGGTTCAACTGGAGAGAACAAGTAAACTTTAAACAAGCCAATCAATTAAACAAGGTCCAGAACAAGGGGAAACATGATATAAAGGGTCCAAATATCCAGTCCATTATCTTATTTAACAGTCCATCTTGTTTTTTTTGCTTTACTTGGTACCTTAACTCACAGATTCTTGCGTTGATTGTTTTTCTTACATCTGATATCTTGGTCCCTGGATGATGGTTTACAACAGCACCTGTGGAACAGAACAATAACACATAATGTGTAATAAAAGACAGGAGGAATTACAGCAATATCCATAATACCTACATTAAATCATGAGCGGGCTTAGCAATAGGGAATTACAAATAGTGGAAGAACAGTGGCCTTAGGGTGTCCTCCAGACACCCTCTAATAGGGCAGGTCATAAGGTCAGCAAATTTGGGGTAAGTAGTGTGTGGTTAAGTTATTTTCACAAAGAGGTTCTGCATTTAGCTGGGGTTACACCAATGCGAATATATATACACCACTGGCTATGGTAGTCATAGAGTACCCTAATGAGCTAGTATTTTATTTTAAGGTATTAGCCTAATCCATAATGATGTCTGTCCTAAGAGCCCTTTCTATACAGTAAAGCTGAAACTGGGTGACTCAAACTACTTCTGCTAACTCTTGTGCTCAGAAGGCAATTTGTCTATTAACAATGAGTATAGCTATAAAAAATAAGGACATGTAAAAAGGGAAAGCCTTTCAAATCTCTGAAAATATTGCATATCATGAGCTAGTATTTTATTTTAAGGTATTAACCTAATCCATAATGATGTCTGTCCTAAGAGCCCTTTCTATACAGTAAAGCTGAAACTGGGTGACTCAAACTACTTCTGCTAACTCTTGTGCTCAGAAGGCAATTTGTCTATTAACAATGAGTATAGCTATAAAAAATAAGGACATGTAAAAAGGGAAAGCCTTTCAAATCTCTGAAAATATTGCATATCTTACAAAGTAAAGCTTGAAGTTTGTTCCCATCAAGAGCCTGCCGTCGCTCTGCTGTAGGATCAATCTTGTTGATCCCTCCAGTCAGGTTGGACTTCAGGAGAACATCAACACTAAAAAGGCCCATCAGCAGCACTCGTGCCATCGCATTGGCTGTTTTTTGTGCTTTTGCAGTCTCCCAACAATGAGCTGAGACAGTGATGTCTCCATCATTTCCTAGTTTCACCTTATTAAATGCAAAATAAACAAAAAGCAAAGGAAATCACCATAAGCAACACAATGCTACACTGTATGTTTTTATTTTTTACTGAAAATATAGACAAATACTTACTTCTGAAGGCTTGCAAGGTGTCACAGCTTCTTCCCCCACACTTTCAACTTCACCGACGCTGAAATCTTTGGCGGGATTATTCTTGGTGATAACCTCTCTCATGTCCGCTAACAAAGATGGGATCTCTGGAAAATAATTTTAATAAAATAAAATGTAATTAATAAACTAATGTGCTACGAAATTATACAGGTGGCAAACATTATGGCCATATACCGAGTAATAGGAAGACGTGCCTTAGCTTTGTGCACTATTTCTTAATCTCATAAACCAGATGAAATATCTCAGGTTTTCACATTGTAAGAGACAGTCCTGAACCATTCACACATTTATGGATTTCATCTAAAATGAAGACATAGTTATTACTATTGAATCTAAAACAGTTACCTACCTTTAACCAACATTTTACGCAGTCTGGAATTTTCCTTCTTTAAAGCCTTGACCTGGTTCTGGAGGTCTCTGATTTCAGCATGATTTCCATTGCTTGAAGATTCTCCTGGACTCTGGTTGTTGTTGGTTGTTGGTTGGTTGGCTGCTTGTTGGTTGTTTTCAGAAATAACTTCTTCCTCAGCCTGTTTCTGAGCTGTGAGTTTTGCTTTCTTCTATAGGGTCAAGACAATCACTTTTGATTATACATTACTCTTTTGTTGTCATTGTGACATGTAAGAGACTGTGTTTGTTGGGCTTCATAAACTCAAATGTTCAGGCAGAATTGCTGCATTGAAGCGCATACAGGTAATGTTATGCCTGATGAGTGCACAGTGTTCACTTACCGGCCGCTTTTTGTCTTCAGTGGGAGTTGGACTGTCATCTTGGTCAAACAGGCGTTTGGGTTTTCTGGCTCTTTTGTGGTCTTTGGGCGTGTCCACCTTTAAAAGTTCCCGCTCAGCGGATTTCAATGTAGACTCCTTTTCTACATGAATAGATTAGTTTTAATGACAAAAATCAACACCGTGGACTAACAGAATGATCTGGAAATTAACAATGTGTCCCAGTACTGATTTATTTTAAAAGAAAAGGCTCTGTAAATCGAGGTAATGTTACAGCTTTTGATCATTATTGCAAAGTCCTTCAAGAATCCCCCCTGGCGATACCCCTGACTATACACTGCTAGTTGAAAAGCACAAGCAATGTTACTTTATTAGCATGCTGAAGTAAAAGTTTCATTACTTGCCTGCTAACTGCAGCACCACTGCCTGCTCGACTTGCCACCCGTTGGCGGGCTTCTTGGTGATAGCCACACGACATTCCACAAGATATGGTCTGGAGGTATCTGTTGGGTTAAAGGCCATTATCCAGTTTGTTGGTACAATGCTAACCGCATCTCTATCTGGTCCCTGAGTCCAAGACACGAGAGCATAACGATAGTTCGACAAAATCTGCTAATATTTGAACACTGGTATGTTACATCTTTTTTTTGTTTGTTTGTTGTTTTTTTTGTTTGTTTGTTTGTTTTTTTGGCATGTTACACATGTCATGAGTGATGTCAGAAAGCAGAAACTGTGCAACATGCTATCCTCTTGTGCAGGAAATATGCAGTGGACAGGACAAAAATGGTTTCCCAGTTACATAAATCAGGATGATCAGAAATCAGTATGTGTAAAGGTGTAAATGAATACAGTGGGGACGGCCGAACATTTTATCTGAGCGCACCCATGGCTAACGTTGCAGCTGTCTCTGGTCTCCGTTAGTGATGTGTCGTTCGCGAACGAGCGGGCTCTAAGAGCCGATGCTTTGTAGGGAACGAGAAGAGCCAACTCCCGCCGGGGAGAGCCGAATCTTCAGCCGCTATTGGTCAGCTCTGCTGACAATCCATGCACAGAAGAGCGAGACTATTTTTATGGGCGCACCATTCGACCAATCGCGTGCGAGGACAGACTAGACTCATACCATTATGTGAAAGATTCTCAAGTTTCATTCAATATATTCAAGTTTCAATCAATATTTTCATTCCATTTATTTCCTGAACGGCTTGCCATAATATATATGTATATATGTATGAATATTCACTTGTGATTAATATATGCTGGAAATGTGAATATGTTTAAGTATGTAGGTAAATTCATAATGTTAGACTTGGCATTATAAAAATATAGTGTTAAATACTGGAAGTTGAATGTATTGAGATACTAAGAGTAATTGTTTGATCCTGTTATCACAGGTCAGGTTTTTTTTTTTTGGGACATTCTATTCCATTCGTGAAATGATCATAAATCATTCTTGGAGTTCGATGGCAAGCCTCCCAGTGGATTCTGGAACGGGAAGATCTGGATAATTTTGGTCAGCATACAAGTGTTACTACACTCCCAGTGTGGTGGACAATAGTGATGTGTCGTTCGCGAACGAGCCGGCTCTAAGAGCCGATGCTTTGTAGGGAACGAGAAGAGCCAACTCCCGCCGGGGAGAGCCAAATCTTCAGCCGCTATTGGTCAGCTCTGCTGACAATCCATGCACAGAAGAGCGAGACTATTTTTATGGGCGCACCATTCGACCAATCACGTGCGAGGACAGACTAGACTCATACCATTATGTGAAAGACGTAAGGGGGCGGGGCCAGACGCTCAGACAGCGAGTGTAGTGGTAGTACAGGACAGGTACACACAGACGGGGAGCCAGGTTAAAAGCAAGCGCGTCGGGAAAAACGGAGGAAATGTCCGAAAACCGAAAAAGAAGCAGCATCTGGATGCATTTCAGTGATAATGGAGACTGCAAAGCTGAGTGCCGAGTTTGTAAAATGAAAATATCTGTCAGAGCAGGGTCAACAACAAACTTGCACAGACATCTAAGAACCGCCCATCCAGCCATGAGGCTGGAGGAGAGAGGGCAAGCGAGCCTTAAACCCCATGTATGTTCTACCTAGTAGAAAAACCTTGTCCCAAACAATTATTCCACGACTATATAACACAGAGCGTGCATTTTGGGAAGACAGGGTCAAAAAAGCTTCAGCAGTATGCCTGACAACTGACTGCTGGACATCCAGAACAACATGCTCATACATGTCTGTCACTTGTCACTTTATTGAAAACTTTAAGGTGACATCCTGCCTTCTTGACTGTTTTGAGTTTTCGGAGAGACACAGCAGAAAACCTGGCAGAGGAGCTAGTAAGAGTGGCTAAAGAGTGGCAAGTAGATGACAAAGTGGTGTGCTGTGTTACTGATAATGATTAAAATGTTAAACAGTAGTGTCTATTTTTTTGAAATAGAAAACTGGATAAAAATAAGGCTTTTATGAAAACACCGAATAAACAAATGCTTAGAAACACACAAACCATTTATAATTGCTAAATTAGGCTGAAATATAGGGCGCAGAGTGATAATAAATTAAGAGCCGCTTGGGAGCCACAGGAGCCGGCTCTTTTAAGAGAGCCGAGCCAAAAGAGCCGAATCTGTGAAAAGAGCCGGACTTCCCATCACTAGTCTCCGTTGCCGTGTAGTTCACATTCCGACTCGTTAGGCAGCGCTTCACATTGGCTGTCCCTGTGTTGAATAGGCGAAGGCGGAGCGACGAGAAAGAGCAGCAGTATCGTACGTTCATGTAGTTAATCCGCGGTTGGTCTTTGGTAAGTAAATCGTCAGCAAAATTGTTTAATTGCACTTATCAATAGTACACGTTGTGATTTATTTCGCCTAACTTGTCGCCAAGATGGTCAAATGACTCATGATATGAATGCTATTTTCTGAACGCACCAGGCGACGTTGCAAGCTAGCGAAATGCCCAGGCTAGCTATGCTAACTGGCCTTAGCTAACTCAGCTAAAATGGCTACAAGATAAGGTTGTTAGCGTTATGTGCATTTCAGCTTTTCTGTTACAAAATATTAAGCCAAGCCGAGGTATTAAGGGACTATGTAAACGTTATTGAAATGCCCACTATTCCATTATACGGTGTGGTTTCCCCTCAAAAGGGAGATAATGACCGACATGTTATTCACCAGTTAACTGCTAGTTGCTAATACCAAAAATGGAAGCACGAAACGTTGTGAACCAGGATTTAAAGCTCGTGGCTGAAACTGAAACATACGCCTCTCTAGGAATACACCCAACCCACATGTTGTTCCCTTGTAAACAGTTAATTTTTAATTCTGTTATTTGGGTTAATAAAATATGCTACATAAAACGATCGGATTAATAGAATAGTGTTTAAACTCGGCTCATTGTTCGGCCGATCTGAATTAAATGCGAGTAGTTTGGACACTAATCTGTCGTCCCTTGGCCCAGAAAAACATTTTCCAAACAGATCAAAAAGTATCGTAAGTATGTGGAAATGCATTTTGTTAGTTATTTCTTGGATTTCAGACCAAATCAACTGTTCAGACATTGTAAATGAAGCCTAATATATTCGAGGGAATATAACCAAGAAGTCTTAACGAGTACAGTCCAGGTTTTAAGGTAACGTGGCAGTTTGATGTAAAAAGTGCACACTCCTGAGGACAGAAACAGTCCCCGTTTGGGCGTTTGTTGATAAAACAGAAAGTGGAAATTAACTTTTTTCTTTAAAAGAAGCCATAAAGACTTTCTCAAACAACCACCAAAATTTGCGTTGCTTTCACTGCACTGAAGAGGGGTGTCCCTTTTGGATGGAGTGCATTGTAGTCAGTAGTTTCTGTCTGTGATCAGATCAAGACTGACTGAACTTTTATCTCTGCTGCAGGCAGTTTGACCTTAGCAATATTAAATGTAAACTGTTAAAGACTGGACAAGACTTGCATTGTACTCATTTTGATGGCATTATTAAAGTACAAAAAGCACAAGAAGAAAGCACACAACTAACACTTGGACAACTGACTCAGCTTCAGGCTATAAGGAACTTGTTTCTTGTCGGAGCAAGTCAAATTTTGTGGTTAGTATTGGCAATCTATCATTGTATCTGCTAAATGCTGTCAAACTTTTTTTTTTATTAATAGAGTATTTATAGACTTCCAAAGATGGTCCGACCACAATTTGGACCACAACGCACAAAGCCCAGGTAACATCTCTTGATTTTGTTTGTTTTCACTCAGGTGTTATGTTCATGATTAAATCTTTTTTTTTTTTTGTGAATTAAGATAAATGTCCTTTGCTTGTGAGGGTATTTTTAAAGTGGCAATATTTGTTGCAACCCATCTGTCTCTGTTTTTCTTGTGTCCTATTAGAATTTATGGAGATGGTCATGGCATTGGGCCAAGTGAAGGGAATTACAACCCCAGCTCCAAAAGTCGTAGAGATGCCCAGGGATACTCAGGAAATTGGAGAGATTCCAGAGGTAGAGGACGACCCCTAGTTCTCAAAAGAGTCCCCCTGATGGGAGAACAAAGGGAGCCACGTTTCAAACACTGGAGGTCCCCGAACCAGGATTCCTTTCATTCATACCCTCCACCTAAAGTGGAACCACATCATAGTCGGAGGCCTTCTCAATCTCGGTCAAACTGCCCCCCCCATGTCCAGCATCAGTCATCCTCTCGCAGTCCAGCACAGGGATCCTCAAGCCAAAGGGGCCCACCTTTTCATGGCCACCCCTCAGGTCACAGGTCACCCTCTCCAAGACATTTTCGTAACCACCCAGCGGACGGGAGGCCAGGTTCGGCACCACCATACCGAGGGTCTTTCCGTGGCCCCAGAAGGCAGTCAGGTTTTCCCCATCAGGAGCAGCGGAGTCGAGATACTCGTGGGAATTACTGTCCCAGAGAAAGACCCTATGAGCACTCAGGTCATGGCACGAAGCGCTGGAACGAGGCTGGAGTGTTCGCTCATTCACACAATGGGGAACATGGGCCCTCTGGGTCACACAGGAGCCCCAGAGTGATGCATGGGAGAAGCTCAGGCCCAGAGAGGTACAGGAGCGAAGCATCAGTCCCAGCTGGGTAAAATTATTAAAGAGTAGGCCTGAAGCTGGCCCAGTCCTCCCATTCACAGGGAGTGTAGTGATTACATCTACTTTGCCCCAGCTCATAGATGTTAGGGGGTGGTTAATGGGGATCTGAGGTAAATGTGGTTTCACCTGCCATTAAGAGGAGTGTTACATCTGTAATTGCTCTTTGAAAAATTACTTCTCCTACCTGTTTCATTTTGTCATGGCATTATGAAGGGGCTGCATTAAGATAAAAGTTAAAAGTTCCGCCTCCCAATTAACTTGGCAATGGATCTGTCATTGTAACGATTTGTCTATTGTTTGATGGATATGCAGGTGGCCATCTGAGCAAGACTCCAGGCGTCAGCGTGGGCCCATGGAGAATCAGGGCAGCAGATCCCACAGTAGAGAGAGGGCACAAGATGTCCCTCACCTTCCCCCTTTCAGATCTCCCCCATGGAAAGGAGGTCCATCATTGTCGTCGTCATCCTACCACAGGAGCCCTCAGGATAAACAAGTGGTAGAACCCCGCAAGCGGAGGATATCGGACACCAGCACAGCCTCCTCAGCCTCACCAATGGAGCATGGCAATCCAAAACACCCCAGAAGAGAGAGACCTCAGCTGCTCGGTATTCCCAGGCCCTTTGGTGGTAAACCGTTGTCTTTTAGGGATAAAGGTTACCTAGTTAAAAACCGACAAATCAGAGCAGAGTCTCTCATGAGACTCAGAATACCTCCATTTGTGAGACCCAGGCTTCGCCCGGGTGACTCTGCCCCACGGGGATATGTGAGCTCTGTTCTTGCTATGAGGAAGAAACGTTTTGATTCAAATGCAGTTCCTGTGAACAAGCTGGAACCCAGGAGGGCAAAACTACAACACTCACCCTCCAGAGAAGAAGGCAATCCCAACAAGTCTTCAAGAGAGACTGATACTAGCAAAGAGCAGGTGGAGGCTCGCCGGCCCTTAAACACACACAGGTATGGTATTTTCCTTCTTGCACTGTTCGCAGGGGCTTGATGATGATTAGGAAGTCAAGACAGAATGTCTCTGTGTGAAGGATTGCCAGCAGTGGACAATGGAGATGTCGTGATGAGCTAAATGTGCAGCACTGGTTCAGTTGATGAAAAGCCACTAAAGTTTTCAAATGCCTCCCAGTCTGCCTGCCACATGCCTTTCAAAATGATCTTCCTGTCAAGTGGGCTGAAGAGAAAATGCTATGTTTGTGCTCCTGTTATGCAGTATATCAATAACACCACCATGGTTTAAAACCTGACAGAATGATGAGGAGTGTGGAAAAATAAGTTGATCTATTGAAGGATTCCCCAGTTTGTCAGCAATGAATGTGTAAAGCTTGAAAGATGTGCTGTTCAGCATGTTGTGAAAATTGCATCAGCCTCCAGAGAAGAAAAGAGAAAACTGAAGCTGAAGTTACAACACGTAGTGCAAGGCAGTATACCTGTGTATGCAAGAGGAGGACACAGAGCGGACTGCGCTTAACATGACCTGACCTGAAATTGACATGCCACCTCACCTTAAATTATTGGCAATACATCAGTTACACATGGACCTTCTGTTAAATCCATCCAGTGGATGTCCAGTGTTCAGCGACTGACAACAGAGTTACAAGCCATGTGGCATATTTGATCAAGAAATGTCCAACAACTAAGTTAGTGTGAGCCATAACACGTTTTACTTTGAACATAATCGCTGTATCAAGATGGACGACAGTGATTATTGCTGACAACAAGAGATGGCAAAAGCCATATAACAACGAAGAGGAAGTTCTTTTGCTGACGGCCATTACCAGCCACCATCAGACTTAGATGACAAAGTGCACCTGCATTCATTTTCACTGATAGATTAACTCATGCACAACTTGTGTGCAAAGTTAGATATTTCTGGCATTTCAGAAATATTTAGTTGTTTACGCATGTCAAATTACTAATAGTCTCTGTATCAAGTTCAAAAGTGGTTATACTAGACTCAAAACAACATCACAACCGGTGCCCAAGACAAAGAAGTCAGAAAACTTTTTTTTGACTAATCACACATGTCAGTCACTAAATGAAAGAAATCTTTATCCCTGTGCATTCATCTGATGCATACATAGGTGTATGTATGTGTTATAGATCTGGAGTTATTCCCCTGGGAATTGTGTTACACACAAGTGCAATTTGGAAGTGGAAATTATATTTTTGCGGTGCTCAGTGAATACCTTTATGTCGGAAGGCTTGGCTCATTGGTCAAATAGAAGATTCTGCAACGCCTTAAGTGAGAGACCTTGTCGACAGTGCTGCATCATTTTCCATTTAAAATGATCAGAATGAGGAGGAGCCAAGCTACTACTTTGGCATCTAATTAGTGGAATTTTCGGCTTCTCTGCAGACACGAGAACATTAAGAAGCATTCATACATGCCCTGAGTGTATTAATATGTGAAAACTGGAGACTCGTGTTTCGAAGAAATACACCAGGGATAATCACATCACCTTCTACAGGAGTCAAACCTGCAACCATAGATCTACTATATCACCGCGTCTGTCTTAATATCATTGATGCCTGCGGTGAAATGCAGTGTCATTTTAAATACCTGGAGGAAGAAGGGGGCTGAGAACACTGAAGAATTAGACCCTAAAAAGAACAAGACAAGTGGTGGAAAAAAGATGGAGAAAGATTATAAGTGGACAAAATTCCAACTTGATACTGCATGTGTGCAGAAACGATGTCAGCCTGGTCTTTGCAGTCTTACCATACCCCCTGTTACTTTGTCATTGCGAATGCATGTGGGCTGGATGCACAAGTCAACATGTGCTGTGGTCAGTTCCTGTGTCTAATCTGACATGTGGCCTGAGTGTATTAATCAGAGATGCACATCATCAGTCTGAGGGGAAGTCATAATTTTCAGTAACCGCATTACAAGGCTAATGCAGCCAAAGGCCATGGCACCAGAAGTCTCTAACCCAAACCTGCATGTCAACCCTGGAGACTGTACTTAGTGTGATGGACAAAAGTTGCTCTAAAGCAACTCTTGGTGCTTTAACCTACTGTAATGTGAAACTACTACATGATGAGGAAGAGCACTGTACTAGATGATCATCTTTATTACGTTCCAAAGTTATGTCCATCGCCTCCAATTTTAAGAAGAGTAGAAGATCTGAGGTAATGGGATGTTCATTACGGGCACGGCAAAGCCTTTAATAGGTTCCCTTGAAGCCTGGACTTGTTTGTGGACAAAGAAACATCAGATCATTTCTTAAAACCTCTGTAAGGTTATGGAGACAGAAGCTGACATAAATACCAGCCCGGATGCCATCAGATCTACAGATGTCTCCAAGATTCAGATCTCCATCTGCTCTCAACATCTGGTGTGAACCTTGGGATGATGAAACGACTGAAGGAATCACTAGTAATGGCCTGATGATAAATCCCTCTGAAGTTCAGTCTGACAGGAGTTGGTGATGTGATCTAGACCGATATCTTAAAGTCCTCTTCAAGATTTGCCCATGCTAACAGTCACTGAATAAAAGAAGAGAGCTCAGATTGATTCAGGGTACAAAAATAGGAGTAAAGAAGCATGGACATTCCATGGTTTTTGTAAGTACCCTTGTATGATGCGTGGCTTTATGATCATTTGTCTGCCTGCAAAACAGTGCTTCATTACTGGTTTAAATTGCATTTTTTTCTAAAAGCTGACAGGTTAATTCTGTCCTTTTACTCTGTTTTTTTTTTTTTAACGCTGTGATAAATTGGATGATGTGATCGTTAATGTTTCCAGGCCATATTTATGCTGACAGGAATGCTGATGGTGGAATCCTTAGCACACTTTCCCCACATCTCTCCACAGATCTTCTCCCATAGAGAAACGGGACCTTGTTGTTTTGTCCCACTGGCCACCCGGGCCGAGCTCTTCCACCAAGGATAGCTCATCTCCAAAGGAGCGCAGCCCAAAGTCAAAGTCTGGTAGGTGCATTTTAGATTTGAGTGTTATGTTTTCAGCTACAAGGTTTATCATCTCCTTCTCTTTTCTAGAACGCAGTTCAGGTGCAGGCACTACCCAGACCGGCCGACTGTCAAAGACAAATGACTCCAGCTCATCACCTGAGGACAGAAGACGGGGACGTTCGGATAATAAGCTGTTTAGGTACGTTTCTTAAAATATTCAAGTGTTTAAAACAGGGTTCTAATTTACCCGGAAGTCTGTTTCTCAAAGGTCAGCCCTCGTATTCTCAGCCGGCACAACACAGCAAGGCCTCTGCCAACCTGTGTGTGGGAAGCCATTTTGTCTGTAGCTTGTTCCACATACATCAGAAATTAGGTGCAAATTTTTTAGTTGTGTAAGAGAGGTGGTGACAGGAAAAAAAAGAAAGTGATAGTAAAATATTTGAATTATTTAAATGCATGTTTAGAGCCTCAGAATGTAACATAAGATACTTAGGAAGTTATTTGGAAATAAACTGGAATTTACAGACCTGTAAAATAAATTGTGACCACAATCTCTGATTGGTTAGAGAGGCCAATCCTGCTCAAAACCTTTTAGAAGCTAATATCTCTGCACCGCTGCCAGTGCTGTTCAGTGAGTCTGGGTCACAGGAGGCTTCAACAGCACCTCTCCACATTAGGACAAGTTTTGGAGCAGATTTCTACAACAAAAATACAAAAATTTAACCCACTGTAGCTGTAACTCATCTTTACAGCCTTTTATACAAACAAGGGTTGAATGCAAGTTTTGTGCATCTCTGATGTTCCCCCATTTTTTTAGCAGGCCATTTAATATGATACCAGACAGCCAGAGATCTGAGAGGCCCTTCAGGAAACCAGCACCAGGACCCATGCAGGTGAGTAAAACATGTTGTATCAGACTGGGCAGAGAGGGTGCCTCAGTGTGTTATAAGCCACTGAGGCATTACAGCAGTGTGCAGTGGCCACTCAAAAGCTTTGTAAAATTGGATGTCAAAATTTTAGATGCATGAGAAATAAAAAAATTGGATGATTGAATGCTTCATGTACTCAGCCTCAATTTTTGTGTTTTCACAGAGGCCAAGGTTCACAGGTGGTCCAAGGAGGCCGGGCCCTGAGCTGTCTGGGAATGTCAGACGCCCGCTCATGGTAGGCATACTGTTCCTTAGAGATCATGTGCTTCCTTTGGGAAATGTTGGAGAGTTATTGACTGTTTTCTTAACCAGAATTGTAATTTCTTGTGTCTTTATTAGGAAAGCTTGGTGCCACATCCCATCCCAAATCAAAGGCCAGTGTTCAGAAAAAGTCAAAGTATCATGTCCAAATACCGCAACATAAGAGTGATGCGCCAGCGTGCACCGACCAGCCGAGGCCCCACCCAACAACGCTGGTGGTAGCCTCCAGTAAGTTATCATGGGGTTTGGCTATGAAAGGGCAGTAAAATTTACCATGTACCATGATTAGTGTCTTCTTCAAAATGTATAGTATTGTTATCTTCAGGCTGTGAGTAAGGCCTGTTTGGTACCTAATGTGAGCCAGCTGTGTAGCTGCAGTTGTCATTTAATCACTAAATAATTCTGGATATACCCTGAAACACTATTTGTAATTTAGTAACCAAGGTGTTAAAGAAATGTTGTATTCAAGTTTTTTTTTTTTTCTTTTTTGTCTCAGCCTAGATTCCCCTTTTCTGCAGATGTGACACTGGAAAGCATTTTTGCTGGGTGGACTGAGCAAACTTCTCTCTCGCTACAGTCCCAAACTGCCTGTATATTGTGTTGTTGCTTGTATTTTCTCTCTGATACAAGTGTTTCAGTTGCATCTGTTGCATTATTTTTTAGAATATTTGTAACACATGCCATTATGTTATACTGTCTGCATTTTCCAGTGTATAGTGATTTGGGAATTGCTGCTTTTGGTCCTGGTTGTCTTAATTTTACTTAAACAGTTTAAGGCTTTTTTGTTGTTGTTTACCTGCAGCTGTTGAGTTCAGGTTTTAGTCTGAGAAACATCTAGTTCTGTTTGTAAAGTCCTATCATATGACTAATTATTGGTAGCTTGATTTGAAACTGTTGACTGACAGAGCTACTACTTGTAAAACTGGTACAGACACTTCAGTTTGTTGTTTAGTAATTGGATAGAACAAGCTGTATTAGAGAGTTGTCTTTGTTTTGATTGTAGACCTACAAGACAATCTCTTTGCCAGTAATGGATATGTTTTCCAAATTTTGATTAAATGCTAAAATCTGAAATACTGTGTGTGTGTATATTTTATTTCTGTCTTCACACAGTTTGATTCTGTCTTGACTTGCTTTACCATTCAACATAATTAGTGACTGAAGACCGAGAAAGTTGCACTCCAGCAAATCCAAGTTGCACATTCAGTAAGTTGGAGGACCACTGACAGGTTTTTGAAAAAGTTAAACTGAAGCAATAGAAGTTGAGATATCCTGACCTTTACTTACAAGTATATCCAAAACACAGGATCCTTCATTTCCCATAATGCATTTCAGTAGAATATTTAGTTAGACCCCCTACCTCCTACCATTTATTTCAAAGCTTGCCTCTTCAAGGCTTTGTTTTGAGCCCAAGGGTAAGTATTTAAAACCTTGGAGTCGCCCTCCAGAGCCACAGAGGACATACAACTGGCTCTCCCTTTTAGTGTGCGACACTCTTCTCCCTGCCCCAGTGATATTTGTGAGTGAAGTGGAGCTCCACTCTCTCCTGAGCTAAACTTAGCGCTGACAGTACCCCTCCTCATCACGACATACTCTGCAGACCACAGTAGGATACAATGGATGGTGTCAGGTTACTGCAGATGCTGCTGTATCTCACTGCTGACGCAGGCAAAACAAGGTGAGTGTGTGTGTGCACCAGGTTCTTGACAGTAACTGACAATCGTAATTGATTTAGTATGTTTACTAATGACCTTATCTGTCTTTGTGCGTGCTGGTTTGAGCATGTGTTGCACCATTTGTTCACTGCTGTGGCATGAGAAAAATATCTGCCTCCACTCTGAACACCCAGTTTAGTTTGCTATGCTTTGATAAAGAATTATCTCAGTTTAATGTACAAACTGAAGTGGCTGTTATGAACAGCACAGCTAATGGTTCAACAATTCATTTCCATCTCTTAAAGATGATTTGAGACTGCACTGAGCTGACGGGTTTCTGTTGATTGCTGCTCCACTGACTTGCTTCAATCTGTCATTTGTAGATGTTTACTTAAAGACTGCAGGTTTTTCTGTCTTTGACTTCCTACACTTGTATTCCTCTGTCATGATGGGCAACTATAGCTCAGCCCTCGTTCCTGGTAAGCCCCGCAACTGTTGTTAGATCAACATCATTTGAAATAGAACTGTTTCTGAATGCTGCATGTTAAAAAGATGAAATGTTAATACAATCACAAAAACTGGCCAAGATGTGTGAAAACGGCCTACATTACATATAGACCTTGGTTTAAATTAGATCTGGCTTCTGCAAAGTGTGTTGTAACACTTACTTTCCATTTCTCTCAAAGACATTGAGGAGTTTGTTTCAATCGTGTCAGTCGCTGGGAAGCTGAATGAGCAGGTAACCCCTGCTGCAGATGAGCAGTTACAGGCAGAGCTTCAGACTCTGGGAAGTAGACATTTTTAATAACACTTAGCTAAAGGCCAAGCCTGCTTTCTGCTATATTGTACACTTAAGTGCTACAATTATAACTTGACTCCCTGTATGAAAAGCATGTGTGGTCTGCTCTGTTTGTATACCAACTGTCCTTGGGTTAAATTTAACCTTTCTGCATCGTCTCATACTCACAGCCACACACAGCAGCAGAAGATATCTACTTTGACTCCTTACTTGAAACAAGGTTCAAAGACACTTATCCCGTAATGAATGTGAGCTATATTTTCTAAACTTTACAAGGCGGTTCATCACTTTAATAATTTGTTACTCACCTAAAGACATTTTTTTATACTTACAAAGGGTGAGTTACCCCTTAAATATATTTTACTTAAGAGATTTCTCAAACTACATTTAACTTACGGGTAACACTGATGGACAAACATAAAATCCTCTCTGATTGCCAATATGGTTTTAGGTCAAACCGATCGACAACTTTGGCCATTACCGACCTGATGGAGGACATTACAAGTGCTATGGATGAGAAGAAATACACGATGGGGATATTTATTGACCTAAAAAAAGCATTTGACACAATCAATCATGAATTATTAATGGACAAGTTAGAAAAATATGGGATCAGAGGAATGGTTCTGAAATGGATTAAAAGTTATTTGACACAGAGGCGTCAATTTGTGAAGTTGGGTGAATACCAATCGAGTGAGCTGGACATTGTATGTGGAGTGCCTCAGGGTTCTCTTTTGGGACCTAAATTATTTATACTATACATTAATGATATATACAAGGTTTCTGATTTAGTGAAAGTGGTTTTGTTTGCTGATGACACTACCATATGGGCATCGGGTGAAAACCTACAGCAACTCTCTGGACGGGTTTCACAGGAACTTGAGAAGATAAAGAAATGGTATGATAGTAATATACTATCTCTGAATATGGATAAAACTAAATTTATGGTATTTGGGAATCACAGACTAGACAATGAACTTCAATTGAATATTGGGGGAGCTAATATAGAACGAGTATATGAAATTAAATTTCTAGGTGTCATAGTTGATGACAAATTCTCCTGGAAATCTCATATCAGATATGTTCAGAACAAAATAGCAAAAAATATAT